CTTTGAAAAACATGGCTATTCTAATTACATTATCTGACAAATGAGTGGCAGAGTTTAAAGACAAAGACATGCACTTCCAAAGAGAGGATAGTCCTAGACTTGTTCTCTCTTCTTTCTTTCCCATTCTTTTGATACCCATGTCATGTTTATCACTCATGAGAGCTATGTGGTGCATTCTCCCCCATGCATTCTTTCCTAAAGATAAACACTCCCAATCCCACCCACTGTGCGCCTAGAAGGCTGCCTTCTTCCTACCTCTTCTAAGAGGACAGACTTACAATCTTCAAAGATCGATCCTTCATGTAAATATGGCCAGTGTACGTCTGTTGGATTTTCCCTAGAAACTCTGTGCTGATGACTGCAGAAAATCAGCATCTTTCTTCTAGAGTGCTTCAAGTGGGAGTTGCATAGTGTATAATTCTCCTCCATGTGGGGAGATTTCATCTAAGTTAAGAAGTGGAACAGTAGAATCAGAATTGACAGGGAGGCACATATAACAAAGATGATATTTGAGGTTCATAGTCTGGCAATGCCTTCTTCACATCAACCTTAAGCTTTCCAGTTCAGTAAGCCAAGAACTTATCTTTTGTAAGCTAGGTTGTTAACTCACAACCATAAGTATCATGAGCAATAAGGATACAGGAATGCATCATGTTGTTTTTCAGGCTCTAAACAGCCATCAGCTCAGCAATGGGCCATGTGTTTCAGTAAAGATCACCACAATGAGATTCTGAATCTGATGCTCTAAGTGGACTCTGAAAAATAATGAGGAATTCATAGGCTCTTGAGGGGAGATAAGGATGTTTCTTAGTATCTACAGCTCTGACATTTCATATCTACTTTCCAGTGACCATTCTGGATATACCAAAGAGCAACGGTGTACCAGAAATGCATACATTACCGTTCTCCTAATTTTCACAATAATCATGCCTACTGAGTGATTCAGTTATCCCAAGGTCCTTGTGTTAATCATGGTTTAGATAATATCTTGCTGAAGGAGACATAGGCATCAACCAAGCATGATAACAGCTGGTCATTTACAACCTGTATATATATATATGTATATAGACAGGGCTTCCTGGACACAAAAGGGAGAAACATTTTATGCTTGTTAGACTCAACTTTGATAAAGCCATGGAAAGCAAAAATTGTATTTCTAAGAGTGAACAATTAACACGAAAACATACAATTTGGTACATGTAAGTGCAATGTTATCTTTGATTTTAAGGTATAGGAGTATAAGGAGGTAAAACTACAGCAGTAAGAGGCCCAGGAAAAGGCAGGTAAATTCTCATAGAAACATTAGGGAGTATAAACTAAAGGACCTGATTTACTGCTTGTCACAATGTGGATAGTTGATTGGAGATGAATGTATCTGATAACAGATGTTTTAAAAATCTTAGTGAACTATGCTAATGTCCACATTTATAATAGAATAAACCTCAGAAAAGGTGCACTTTGAAAGAACTGCAGACAATATCACATGGGCTGTCTACCTGTGGGAAAGTGACATTTTCTCTTTCTAAACCTCAGTTTAATTATGTAGATGATCATGGATTGTATATGAAAATTACCCCACAGGTCCATGCTTTAAACACTTGTACCCAGAAGATAGTGCCATTTGGGAAGGCTGTAGCAGCTTTCGAATGTGGGACCAAATTTATGAAGTAAATCACCAGGTTTGGGCTTTGAAGGTTGTGCATGGCCCCTGGTCCTTTTCCTGATCTCTGAGTTCTGGTTCATAATCTTATGAATAGTCTCTGCCCCCATGTTCCCACCACCATGAACTGAGCTGCACCCTGCCTTCTAGACCATGACACACTGAAACCATGTGTCAAATAAGTCTTCCCTCCGTTTCTGCCAGGTATTATGGTCACAGTGAGAGAAAAGTAACAAATACTATATTATCAATGAGGCTAGATGGAGCCTAAAGACTCTAAGGCTCTGTGATCCAGGCTTTGGGAGGAATTCAGGACTTTCAATGGGTTCCCTTCATCCTAAAATTCCCATTGTGTTCATCAGTCCATTGAGATAATGCAAGTGACTTTTCCTGCTACTCACATTATATTTCTATATTTATCAAGTTTCAGCTTACCTTATAACACTATTAAATCTACCATATTGTTGAATACACATGGTATTCATTTGACTACATCTACGATATTTACATCTATTCCAAAACATTCCTTGCACAAACATCCATCCGAACTGCCTATCCACATTTGTTCTAAGTAAAGTGTTTACTTTTACTGATAAAAAAAAAACATTGTTGAGGTAGACCAATTAGCATTATGACTTAAAAAGACTGACTAATAATGTATAATGTGATCAAAATGTTAAAAGTTGTGAAGCTAAAAAAGAGAAAGGGAAAGGGAAAGTCAACATGCACTTTACATTTTGAGTCCACTCCTGCATCAGCCCCTCATTTTTGGCATTCCTTTATGTCGTGCTCTCTGTTTCTCACTGACAACAGTAGGAATGTGAAAATAAATCAGATGGGACTCATTGCTTTGGCATGAACATTGGTGCCATTCAGGATTCTACTTTTTTCCTGTTCTAAATAAATGCTTTTAATTAATTCTTTGAGAATTTCATAAATGTATTTTGGTCATCTTCACCCCAACTCCGTACCTTAATTACTTCCAGATCCATGTCAACATCCTTACCCACCTCCAACACCCTGTGCTATGTTGGAATCATATAAAGCATGGCAGAAAGGTGAAGTTTGGGGAGTGGGCCATTGTAAGAGTGAGATATGAGTGTGTGTGTATGTGTACAAGAGTGAGGTACTTTTTTGTGTGAGACTGGGGGTTGTGTGTAAAAAAGTGAGCAGTGTGTGTGTGTAAGAGTGAGGTGTATGTGTGCACACGTGTGTGTGAAAGAGTGACATGTATGTATATATGTGTGTGTGCACCCCTGTATGTGTGTTTGAGAAAGCCAGAGGACGACACTGGGTTTCCTGCTCTGTCATTCTCTACCTTACTCCTCTGAGACAGGGTCTCTTACTGAATCTCGAGCTACCAAGCCCCAGCGTTCCTCTTGTTTTCGCCCAACTCCCCTCCCCTCCCCGCCACTGACCTCCACACTGTGGTTATACCTTTTAATGAGAAGGCTGGGATCTGAACTCTGGCCCTCATGATTACACAGCATGCACTCTTACCCCATGAAACATCTCTCCAGCTCCTAAAGGTGTCAAGTTCTGTATGAACTCAGAAAGCTCTTCATGATCTCTCATGTGTAACTTACAGAAACTTACTATGCCATTTACAGAGATCCAGTTCTCAGCAAATTAAATATAATTTAACAAACGTGTAAAAGATTACTGGATGGTAATGCCTGCTTCACTCAGGCTGCTGAAAATAGTTCTACTTTCTAAGAAGTAAATATATAGAATATTGAGACTGGATTAATCCCCATGATGAACCACATAAGTTTGAGATCCACATCAGTTCCTGTTTAGACCATCACCTGCGTGAAAGCTTTGCTTTTAACAGCTTGAGCCTGTAACTCTTTTAGGTTAGTTTTCTGTCCACTGGAGTCCCCATACTAATGAAAAGCCTGAGCACATACTGCCACTTGGTCTCCAGTTCTAGATAGCCCACACTCCATGGAAGAGAATAAAGTCCTATTTTCTTTATAAGAGAAATTTTATTGATTCAAGAATTTTATACATGAACTTGCACCAAAGGACATCTGGGTACGAATACTTGACCAGGAAGGACTTAAAATATATGGCACAATGCATAAAATTTGGTGGGGGGATAACAGGGCCACAAATGGGGGAAGGGGATCTAAATTTGATTAAGATCTATTACATAAAATGCACAAAAACTCAATAAAAGATTTTAGTAAAGGGTTTCATAAAATTAATTTTTATTGTATTCAGATGTCCTCCCCATCTCCACCCTCACACTACTACTCCCACAACCCCTACCCCCTACAAAACCCCATCCATTTTGCATAACACCTCCAAGCTGGGTGCTGGAGAAATCGTATCTCATTAGAGTTTCTGTGATCTATAAATCCTACACAGAGGTGTTCCAAAGTAAGGGTCCACCCTCTTTCGTCATACGTGGTTTAGGGTCAGTACACACCCAGTTTTCTTGGAATCGGCTTTTCCCTCTTGATTTCTGTTTCCCTTACACACTGCTCAAGAATGTCAAGTAGGGTTTTCTCTTTTGCTTATCAGTCAGGAATGCTTGGTTTTTCTAATCAAATTTAATTTCTGCCAGCCCTTGCATTCCAGTTACACTTTGGCTGTTTCCAGGTCTCATTCAGTACAATGACCTCATTGTGGACCAAAATGTTCTCCAACAGGTTGATTCCCCACAGGAGTTTGCTGTGGATAAAAGAAGCAGCTACGTCCTGACAGCAGCAGGCAGCAGTTAGCTCACACGCCTCCAACCTTAGGTTCCCTGAGAGGCAGTTTGGGTGATTCACAGCTTCACACAACAGCTGTATACCAGTGTCCTGTACTTTATTTTGTGAGAACTGTAGAGTTCACAGATTCCTAATGTTGTTGAGAACTGCAGCCAGGTCTTGATAGCCACTGGGTGATGATTATGATTAGCCACCACAGGCACCACCATGGAGCATGGGCTACCAGGCCTGCTCTGCCCTGCCAGTGTGCATGGGTGGCCAGGCCAGCAAGGCTCAGCCATCTGGGCTCCCCAGTTATTTTCTCTTTTACTTACTAAGTAAGTCCAGGGTTCAGAATTTTGAGATCAATATAGAAGAACCTATAGTCAGGTAAATATTCATCTTGTGTGATAAGGTTCCTCACATGGGCCATCACACACATCCAGTCTTTTGGGAGTCGGTACACCCCACAATCTCTCATTCCTATACCAGCTAATGTGTACCAACTCAATGTATTCATGACTGAAGCCTCTAATGATGCACTGATCACATGTTGGCAGCTGGACTGAATGGTTAATGCATAGCCATTTTCATTTTCTTTTTAAGAATATCATCAACACCATCACTTTGAACTGTTTTGTCATATTCCTTCTTGAGTGTATCAATGCTCATATTGAAGAATGTATTCTAGGTTGCAAAAGAGGATTTATTTTTGCACCTGTCTTCCATGTCTTTTGTCCACCAGCTGAGCAAACACACACACAATCTACTTTCTAACTCCTTTTCTTGAAGTAGGACACCCTCTGGGGTAATATCATCAGAACTCTACCATTGGTCATATTGTATCTGGGACTACAAATAAAATCACATTTCTATTTGGTTTCTGCCTTTCCTTATTTCCTCCTGGGACTACTTCTTTAACACACAGCACATATTCATGGATCCTTTGTCTGGGTTCTGCTTCTCCTGAGAAAGCCCAATTCAACATGCATAGAAATGTTCATTCTTAGACTTCTGGGAGACATTTGTTAGGAAGTTGACCATGAGACAAGCACACAGTACAACATTTGGAAGCAAAGGTGACTAAATTTTAAAGGTGATTATCGAATGTCTTAGAAGGTATTTGTGGAGTAGAAAGAATTGTGAATGGAGAGCAGAAAAAACAATTCAGTTCAGGGAGACTCTATTAACCGTAGGAAACCAGCCAAACGGAATTCAGAGAAAAGAGCAGGCCAATGTTCACCTCGGGTCCTACAGAGAGCACAAGCAGGTGTAGAAATGAGGATTAAAATGCTACCTGACTAAACCAGCCTCCCCTCTCCCAGGATGAAACACTAGTCAATATAGAACACTTCCATTCACATCCCGTCATGTTCATCCAGGTGCTGAGCAATGTAGAGAAAGAGCAAGAGAATCTAGCACTAATTGAGAAGCCAGTGCCTTTACTTGTTATCTCTGTCACTGATGCCATCTTTGGGGCAACCATTGCTTTTACGGTATAAGGTCTTTATTTACCATATGAACAAACACCTTTCAGTTACCCTCTCCCTTAAATTCTTTCTGATTTGACCTGCCTCAGGTAAAATGCCTGCCATTTCTAGCTCACAGCTGACAGTCTTTGACAGCAGAAAATCCCATCTACCTGTGTTTGCAAGAGTCCCATTCTGGGAGGATATATTAACAGAAATATTACATAAAGCTTCATTTATATTTTCTCTGGAGCAACCATAAAAATAAAGCCAGCCAGCACATCTCTCTGCCCTAAGATAGCTGCACATATAAATGGAAGACAAAACAAAACATGACTTGCAGCCCGACTACTAAAGGAAAGAGTCCAAGCTAAGCTGTAGCTTGCCTTCTTTGCAAACCCAGTCAAGTCTATTTCACTGTAAGTTAACAACCTAGAGCCCTGCAGGGCTATTTCTGTAGCTAAATGTATTCATGATTGAAGCCTCTAACGATGCACTGATCACAGGTTGGCGGCTGGGATGAATGGTAAATGCATGGCCATTTTCATTTGCTTTTTAAGAAAATTGAGCACATTCATTGGGTCATTTTATATGAATTAACTCCTCTCTCCACTAGCATCCCAATCAATGCACACACCACCATTGAAACATCCAATTTGAATATGCATTTAGGAACAAAAGTATACATTGGCAAGACTAACATGAAATAATTTGGACTCTGTCACAGTTCCATCACGCACTGTTGGGATACAGTTATTGTAACCCTCAAAGGGAACTGACTAACTTCAAAATTCCTGAAAACAGGAATCCTGAATGTTTTGAGCCAATGCTAATGTGACTCTTGGGAAATCTAAAGATCAAAGAGGCAATGTTTAGCCTCAGAGAGGGGATATATTAGAACTTACATTATTTAAGAAGGATTTTTCTGAAATGCCCTGTCCTCTAACAGTATGTCTTAATAGTTTAAAGAAATTTTGTTTAAGACTAGGTTAGGACAATAATCTCTATGCAATATGAACTGGGACATGAAAACATACCCACACTGAAAGTTGATAGGACATTTTAAGTAATAGTATCAGGAAGATACTTATTAGTTGTAATGTATAGAGTTTTCAGTAACATGACTTTTAGACATGAGAGTCCACTTTTTTAATGAGAGTCCACCTTTCAGGTTGTTTTTATCCTCATATAACATGTACAGTTAGACACAGGAAATACAGAGAAGGCTAAACCTCAAGGGAAAAAAAAGCAATCTGTAATCATTTAATGTGGTGCACTATCTTATCCTATAGTAATGGGCAGTTAGGAAGATCACGGGATGTTCCATCTCTCTCACTGCTCAGCTACAAAAAAGTTTATTTGGCTGTTTCCATTTTTCAACATTATGCTAATGGAATGCAAATAGAAATGGTAGAAAGGAAAACTGAAAGGCAAAATGAGACTTTCTGCTAGGTTCAATGTCTCAGAAAAAAAGTCCATGGTACAAATCTCATTTTCTGTGTGAAGCAAGGAGGTTAAAATTTGTATTTAATCATGGATTGGACTTGCTACAGCTCTGAAAAGTCATCATAAAGCCTTGCTAGTGTGGGCACATTTGTTGACCGGATATGAGCACACGATTCAATTTTCCATCCTTTGCAGTTCAACACAGATAAAAAAGGATGAAATGTATAAATTCTCTTTCCAAAATGATATTACTAGTTGATGATATTCAGCTACATTAGTGTCTCAAAAATTCTTGCCTTTCTAAAAGCATTGACTAAGAATATATAAAATCAGAAAATTGACAGACTTAAGTAGATTTAAAAAATAATAAAATAAATAGAACAGAGCCATACTAACTCATGACTGCAATCCCAATATTTTGGAGGCTGATACAGGAGGACTATTGTGAGCTTGAGGCTAGCCTGGGCTAGAGACTAACCTTAGCTCAACTTCCCCCAAAGATAAGTAACAGTAAACCATTAGGGAATATATAATGATAAATATGCAGTATTTCAATTATCTCATCAAAGTTCAGTTTCAGTTTGTCCATGAGAAGTACTCACTTAGTAGAAATTCTCAATAACACAGTATTATCAAATCTTTGGAAAAGACAAATTTGGCATGCGAATGGTCACTGGTAGAATCAGACGCAGGTCAGGAAGAAGGGAATAGAAATCCAGAGAATTGTCAGCAATAGCAATTAGGCATGAGAAGGAAATAAACCAGAAGGCTATTCATTTTCTGAGAGTGTCTGTTGGATATTTGACAGTGACCAACTCAGAATCACCATATTTAGGTTGATAGAGAGAGCTCAAGTTTTAAGCAATTCTGATTTCAGATATAAATCTACTACTGTATGATGTGACTAACCTCACAGCATGTAAGTTTCTTAAATGGTAAAACAAGTTTTCAGATTCTTTTAATGTGAAGATTAAAGAAAAAAATAGCCATTACTTATCAGGTTTGACATATGCATGTGTAAACAGTGTTTTATTTCCATTCTACTAAAAAGAATAACAACTTTTATTGAAGAGAAATGTATGAATTGGCAATTCTACATACAAAAACTGTTCTGTAGATTCTCCTACCAAGCCTATTGGTACATCTCTCAACACTCACCAAATAAGCTACTTCTTGTATGAAAAAATAGCCATTACTTATCAGGTTTGACATATGCATGTGTAAACAGTGTTTTATTTCCATTCTACTAAAAAGAATAACAACTTTTATTGAAGAGAAATGTATGAATTGGCAATTCTACATACAAAAACTGTTCTGTAGATTCTCCTACAAA